TATTTATTTGACAGAGGCAGACAGCGAGAGAGGGAACACAAGCAGGGGGAGTGGGAGAGGGAGAAGCAGGCTCCTGGCTGAGCAGGGAGCCTGATTCGGGGCTCAATCCCAGGGCCCTGGGATCATGACCTGAGCCAAAGGCAGACGCTTAACGACTGAGCCACCCAGGTGCCCTGAATTTTTGTATTTCTAATGTTAACATGTAAAGAAAATATCCATTGCTGGGAGAGGCAGGTTTCCGGGTAGAGATTTAAGGTTCACAACTCACTGGTGTAGTGGGGCTCGTTTTCCAGGCGTGGCTCTAATGTGCAATAGAGGAATCTTCGTCACAACTCTGGTCAGGGTCCCCGCACTGCCACCAGACTGGGGGCACCTCTGTATATCAGCCTTTTGAAAGAACTTAAACTATATACACACCATCAAGGCATATACTGGTAATGCTTGATAATCACAGGAATCCTGCAGTGAATCATTTATATCCTTTGAAAATACAAATAGGTTTTCAAAGATTGGATATAAGTCTGGGTACATGAATGAGATTCAAGGATTTCTTAAGTAAAGGAGAAAAAACCTCAACCTCCCCCTATTGAGGACTTTCTGTCCAAGACTGAAAATTGATGCTTCCTCCCCTGGCTCCTTAGGTATCTGAAATCTTCCCGGCAACACAAGGGGCACTTTTATGAGGTGTGGCATCTATTAAAACTTTAAACCCAGGGTGGCATTTGCTGAACAAAAGTAATAGCATTACCTTAAGGATTTTTTTCCCCTTTAATATAAAAGTATAACTACAGTGGTCCAATATACAAATACAAAAAAAATTCTCGTACTAAAAAAATGTACCATAATACTGTACATACAAAAACTTTTCAACAAGAATGATTTAAATATATCTGTTCTTTTCCAGATCTGGAAGACACAAATGTAAAGTTCCATAACTGTATTATTGCTGGAATATGTGCCCAGGAACACTGTGTTTTCCCCTTTTCTCCCCCTTGTCCCAGCCCCGCTTTCAGAGTCGCCTGAGCTTGGACCATGAGCCAACAGCATCCCTGAAGATAACCAGAGCCAAATGTTTACTCAATGGAAGTCATTATTCAGTGAGCCGCTGCTTACCATAAACTATGAAAAGCACAAGTTTTAAGCCAAGATTAAATCCAGACGGAGGTCTTCCCATCCCCTGATTTACTACTAGCACTGCTCTTGCTGGACCCAGCTTTGGACCCCACTTTGGCTTTTTTTTCCCGGGGTCCATGGGGGTTGTTTTGGTGACTGTAGGCCTGGATTGCTAGATCCAGGCGTTCCTGAGCCATTCTGATCTCTCGCTGCAGAGTCTCCAGGTCAGCTGGGAGGTTCTCCTCATGGCTGCCATACTGCTGTTCCTGGGCGATGTTGGCCTTGTTTTGCTTGTAGGCAATCTTAGCGTTGGACAATTCGGTGTACTGGATTTGATCTGGTTTGACGGCAATGTTATAGCCAGGGGGAGCAGATGGTGTATTCCAAGTGAAAGGATAATTATAAGCACCCGGATCTTCCAGTTCCCTCCTTTTACTGTTTAGCGAGTCTCGAATTGTCCCAAACCCTAAATGAAGCATTTCCCAAATGTTAAGCAGTAGGCAAAGGCCTGTAACACCATACATTATTAGAAGGAAGATGGTTTTTTCAGTGGGTCTAGAAATAAAGCAGTCTATTTTATGAGGGCAGGGAAGTCTGCTGCACACATAAAATGGATGGACTTGGAAGCCGTACAGAAAATACTGCCCTATCAGAAAACCCACCTCAAAAATGGTCCTTGCCAGCAACTGCAGCACGTAGATCTTCATAAGCCCATCCTCTCGGATCCGCCTTCGGCCATCATGCTTGGGTTTAGGTTGGTTCTGCTCCTTATTTTCTTTTTCACTCTCCAATTCCATTTCTGGATACATCATGGGATCCTCTTCATGGTCCTCTTCTGTTTCTTCCAGAGCCCGGTGCTGTTTCCAACGCATTGCATAGGGTTTGCTTCGAGCTGTCTTCTTGTCTGCTTCGCCATGCTCCATTTTGGCAATCTTATGAATGGCATAGCCCAGGTACATCACCGAGGGGGTTGCCACCAGGATAATCTGGAATACCCAGAAGCGCACATGGGACAGGGGTGCAAAGGCATCATAGCAGACGTTCTCGCAACCTGGCTGCTCTGTGTTACATACAAATTTGCTTTGCTCATCATAATAGATGGACTCCCCTCCTACAGCTGTAAGGACAATCCGGAAGACAATCAATACAGTGAGCCAGATCTTCCCCACAAATGTGGAATGGTTGTGGATCTCCTCTAGCAGGCGAGTCAGGAAGCTCCAACTCATGGTGATTGAATTGGTTTGCCCTGATAAAAATGGAAAAATGCCAAAGGAAAATCAACAAATACTAAAATCTGAAACAATTTTTTCTTGATGATATCTCTAGGAACTACTTTTCTGAATACTTGAAATCTAACTTCAAGGCTCATGTTCGAATGACAGAATAAAGAGCATCTCACGCTCTACTACCTCAGGTAGGACAATTCACCTCAGGCTATGAGCACTTGTTTGGGCCTGCAGAATCCTAGGAAGTCTGGTTACCTAGTCCCAAAGGTAAAATTGTAGCTATCATCTGAGATGTATTTCTCAGACCCAGCATACTGGATTCTTTATGTGTACTTTTATTTCATAAGACTTCTTTGTGAGATGTAAATATGAAAACAGAACAAGGCATAGCTTATTCTGTTCAGTCATAGTGAGACTATCACTAAGAACATAATGGGGACACTTAGGCTGGACTCCATTGTGAAGAGGCACTGTATGAGGAAATTTAAATTTTGGACCTGGTGACAAAGTATTAAAAAGAATTAAGGAGATGATACAGCTGCAAATAACTGGCAATGATCAAGAACTAAAACAAAAGACAGAAGGAACTAGGAAGACACTCCCTAGCTGGATTGCACAGCATAGCAGGTTCCAGGATTCTATATATTGCTGTACTTTGTTTATGGTAGATGTTAAAAATGTTTCCAAACTGAACTGTGAGGACATTAAATCTAATCAATAGGCAAATCCATTTAAAATAGCATTTTGAGGGGCGCCTGGGTGGCTCAGTCGTTGAGCGTCTGCCTTCGGCTCAGGTCATGGTCCCGGGGTCCTGGGATCGAGCCCCGCATTCGGCTCCCTGCTCAGCGGGAAGCCTGCTTCTCCCTCTCCCACTCCCCCTGCTTGTGTTCCCTCTCACTCTCTCTGTCAAATGAATAAATCTTAAAAAAACAAAAACAAAACAGCATTTTGAAGGACAGTTTTATTCTGAGATTCTTAAATCTATGCCCAGAATTCTGCTAAAAATCATCGAAATGAGGTGATGTATATAAAATCCCTAATGCAACCCCTGACACAAAGCACACTTCTCCTCTCTCCTTCTCTCTCCCAGTTTACTTTTGCAGATTATCAGTGATTATCAGCATGACTGAAGTTTAAATATGCTTTACCTGTTATCCGGAACTTCTGTTATCCAAAATTTTCTTAGAGAAATGATGTTTTGCTTCCAATTTTTCCAGATTCCCTCTGGAAGGAAAAAAGACAAGAGAAGGTCACAAGCTTCCTCCCACAGAAAACGATGAATCATTAAAATGTCATTTTCAGGAAGAAACGAAGTTTTCTATGGAGCACAGGAATCAATCAGCATGAGGTAGAAGCAGGCTTGAGTACCACTGTTTATTCCATTCCCAATGCATGTGGTAGAAAAAACTATGTTTAACAATAACCCAAAGATAATCTTAAGTCATTGTAGTCTAAGAAAATATGACAGGAAGATGAGTCATTTGTGAAAATCTGAAGCAGATCAACTCTGGCACCTATAGGAAAAAGCCAAAGCAAAAAAATCTCAATAAATTTAAACCGGGTCACTAAAGCCCTTGTGAAAATCTTCACCCTGGATGCTCTATTCCCGTTCTATTCCCTGGAGCAGCTAATACCTCTCACTGGGATTTAAGCAGCCAACTGGGAGCTAGCTGTTTAGTTCAAACACCCAACAGCTGGCTCTCAGTCACTGGGACACCCGAATCCACATGAGGTGATTTATAAATTCACACAAAGAAACTGCTCAAGGAAAGAAAACACCTGCATCTGTATTGTGGTTTAAAAAAAAAGAAATCGGGGGGGGGGCACGCATGGCTGGCTCAGTTGGTGGAGCGGGCAACTCCTGATCTCAGGGTTGTGCCATGCTGGGTGTAGAGATTACTTAAAAATGAAATCTTAAAAAAAAATCCTGGATAAATTATTGCTTATTATCAAGTTGTGCCAACTCTGAATAGCTGTGGCCAAGAGGCATCCATAAGGTGCCAACTTTGTTCATTTGCTATCATTTAATTAAATAAATAAAACAATCCGTAAGTGTTAACATGTTCATAGTAACTTAAGAAAAATCTGGGGAGGGGGTTAAGATACAGGGAAAAAACCTAGAACAATTTCCAAAAGGTCAGTGAAAATAAGAAAAGACAGTAGCAGGCACCTACAAAACATTCAAGAGTCACATTATGTACAGAATCTGAGGGCGCCTGGGTGGCTCAGTTGGTTAAGTGACTGCCTTCGGCTCAGGTCATGATCCTGGAGTCCCTGGATCGAGTCCCACATCGGGCTCCCTGCTCAGCAAGGAGCCTGCTTCTCCCTCTGAGCCTCCCCCCTCTCATGTGCTCTCCCTCTCATTCTCTGTCAAATAAATAAAATCTTTAAAAAAAGAATCTGAATACACAAGCATCTCACCATAGGACTTCAAGACATTCCCAGGCCTAATGTCTAAATGAGCCCAGCACTTCTCTCACTGAATACACAAGTTATAAAACCATAAAAGAGGAATATACAATCTTTAAATGGTGACATAAGTCAAGTTTCCAATATGGAACTCCTGTCATGATTCACATTCCCAAGTTCAGACTGTTCCCAAATACCCCATCTAAAGCATCTCCCCTGAAGCCTGAAATTCTATTTATTCCCATAAGTCAAAATCATCAAAGTACAATTGTTAGTTAGAAAATTCATCCTCTACACCTTCCTCCACACCAAAGACAAACGAGTATCATTTTAAAAAAGATTTTTAGAATTTGAAAGAGAGAGAATGAGTGGGAGGGGCAGAGGGAGAGAGAATCTGAAGCAGACTCCATGCTGAGTGTGAAGCCTGACATGGGGCTCAATCTCATGAGCCTAAGATCATGACCTGAGCTGAAATTAACAGTCAGACGCTTAACTGACTGTGCCACCCAAACAAGTATCTTTTTAGTAATTATTGCTATGAAAGAATTTCTCAACAGTTCAGCATCTCATATAATAATCTAACTTCCTTGGGGTAGGAGGAATGGTGATATGTTCTTCAAAGCTTATATAAGTTATAAAGCAGTGAAACACACCCAGAAGTAGGCACTGTACACTGGCTAAGATGTACGCTAGGCCTAGAAAATGCTGAACTCTTAGAACCTGGTTTCCCATGGGCATTCATAAATGCTACAGCACCCCATACCCATATCTACCATATAAACAGTGTTGTGTTTAGTAACTTAATTCCAGCATCTCATAAAATGGGTGCTGGGAAATTTTCTTTCTAAAATAACCATGGGCTTCCTAAAATGAATGGCAGCATCACCATTGTTTTTATCTACTGAGGAGTCAATAGATTTTTCTTTGATACTCTTTCCAAATCCCTTTCCTTTCCCTGTAAGTATTAAAAGAGAATGGCTTAAATATCAGACTACACTACTCCAAGGGTGTGTGTGGGGGGGGAGGGAGGGAGGCAATGAGAAAGAGAGAGAGAAAACAGAATGAGTAGAAGGGTGGGTTCTGGAATTGACATTTCTAAGCAGAACACTCACTGCCAAGTGTGGTCTCATTGTCTTCTTGCTCCACTACAGTTCCCTCTCCTCTGCCTTTTTTTTTTTTGCCCGCCCCCCTCCTCTGCCATTTTTTGCTCTCCTGTCAGAAGCCTAAAATTCAGGACACAGGGGCACCTGGGTGGCTCAGTCATTAAGTGTCTGCCTTCAGCTCAGGTCATGATCCCAGGGTCCTGGTATAGAGCCCCGCATCAGGCTCCCTGCTCCACGGGAAGCCTGCTTCTCCCTCTCCCACTCCCCCTGCTTGTGTTCCCTCTCTTCCTGTGACTCTGTCAAATAAATAAATAAAATCTTTAAAAATAAAAAATAAAAATAAAATTCAGGACATAGTCTTCTCTGACTTTCCTGTTTCAGCAAACAGAATGGATAAGGAATGGGGAGTGAGAGTGTGCAATTAACCTGTGAATGGCTCTCATGAAAAAATAAGAATCGTTTTCATACTCTCCATCTATGAAGGGAAAGTGACAGGGGAGCATGTGATGAGTGGTGGTGAGAGGAGGGGAGGATGGCAAATACCTAAGTTTTTTGCTAAGAAAGCCCCAATCAACTTATATGTACTTTTTTTTTTTCTTAAAGATTTTATTTATTTGACAGAGACACAGCGAGAGAGGGAACATGACCTGAGTCAAAGGCAGATGCTTAACCGACTGAGCCACCTGGGCGTCCCGGTATTTTTTTTTTTTAACATTTTATTTTAAAGTAATTCCTACACCCAACATGAGGCTCAAACTCACAACGCCAATATTGAGAGTTGCATGCTCTACCAACTGAGTCAGCCAGGCGCCCCTCAGTTTTTGTTTTTAATACACCAGGACACGGTTCTCCCATATCCCCCCCTTCACAGACTATTTCTAGCCTTCTGCCCATTTATTTGCAGAATGTATTCTCAACATAGTACAGACATTAACCACTTGACCTTTAATATAAATACTTGTTTACTGTCTTCCTTCACATTTTTAAAAAATATATATTTTTTAAGATTTTATTTATTTATTTGACAGAGAGAGACACAGCAAGAGAGGGAACACAAGCAGGGGGAGCAGGAGAGGGAGAAACAGGCTTCCCACGGAGCAGAGAGCCCGATGCAGGGCTCGATCCCAGGACCCCGGGATCATGACTTGAGCTGAAGGCAGATGCTTAACAACTGAGCCACCCAGGCGCCCATTCCTTCACATTTTCTTATTTTTGTATAGTCACATTGGTCAATTTCTTGAATAAATTCAAAGGTGGAAAAGTTATCTCTTCTAGGATGACTTTTTACGTAAAGAATACTGCAATTCATGGTAGCCCATAATTCAAAAGGACTCACACACACACACACACACACACTAACGAAAATTATGGTTTGCTTATATAACATTTATTGGACAGAAACCAAATGTGCTATTTTTAGTCCATTTTCCAAATAACTAAAATTACAAATCTACCTTGTCTTGTACTAGAAAATAGAATTTTCAAAATTAGTTGGCATAAACATGGTAATAAATTACATAATTCCCTCTCAAATTCTTTGTATTTGAAGTTTCTACCATTGTACCCTAACACAGGATCAAGTCAAAGTTTACCACATTTTTCTGTAAAAAAAGAAACTCATAGGATTTTTCAAGATTAAATACAAAGCATATTATTTGGATTATCCCAGGAGGTAGATATATGACTAGATCCCTTCTAAAAATGAAGAAATGAGATCTAGAAAGCATATAAAATTTGCCCAAGATCATACAGTTATTAAAGTGGTGAAGCCAGGCTCTTAACCACTAATAAAGAATTACATTACTGATGGAACTATGTACAGGTTCCATGTGAACACAGAAGGGGGGACCTAATCCCAATCTTTGGCATCAGAATTAAACTAAATAATAAAATAAATTCACAAAGATCAAAAGGGGAAATTTCAGAGTTTAAGACCTTATTTGCAGAATGAATTCAAGTCAAAACAAAAACAAAACCAGAAAGAATGCAAAGGTTTCCTGGCAGTTGGAGGAGGGAGGGAATAAAACTGGAAGAGTGATATCTCCAACAAATGGTTTAATTACTTATTTAATTAATAAGTTTACAAGTTTAATTACTTATTTGGGCATTGAGAATAGGGACAAGAGAAGCTGGTAAACTCAGTTTGGGAGACACCAGTCTGAGATGCGAAAACTTTGTTAAAGGGGAGTTACTAGGATGATTGTATACATATAGGGAGCTAAGAGCTGTGCCCGACCTCACCGCAAGCACCATTACTCCCAGTGCTGTTGCAACTTTCAGACTTGTCACCGTATCTGAACTGGGAGCCCCAAAAGTTACACATCTTTCACCTCTGCTTCCTTAGCATCTAACCCAGTAACTGGCACATGTTAAGTGCTAAATTAACTGACAAACGAATAAATACATTCCTATGGGACCTGTTTTATACTTATTACAATCTCTTCTGTATTTTTCTCCTAGATTCCCACTGCATCAGCCTGTCCATAAAAAGAATAAGCAGCTTCAGGGTGCTGGATGGCTCAACTGGTTGGGTGTCCGACTCGATTTCAGCTCAAGTCATGATCTCAGGGTTGTGGGATCTAGCCCTGTGTGGGGCTCCATGCTCAGGAGTCTGCTTGAGATTCTCTCTCTTCCTCTCCCTCTGCTCATACATGTGCATACACACTCTAAAATAAATAAATCTTTTTTCTTCCTTTTTTAAAAATAAGCAGC